AGAAGCCGATTTTCTTGGACGCAGAGAATTTCACCAAGAGGTTTCAAGTATGAAAATTTGATTGCTAGTACGGCAATAATGTTCTTCAAAGGTGTCGGATATATGCAGCACCCGAAAACGCAGACAGCAGCAGAATGAGGCTGAGGATATAGATGAGTACGTAGTTTGTATTTACTAAGTGACCGCATTGACCGTAAAAACTTCGTCAATTCCTACTCATGTTCGAACTCACCCGGAATTGCCTATCAAAGCCCAAAAGTAAACGAGTCGCAGATCTACGTATAAAAAGGGGGCAAATGTGTGAGTTTCTGGTGATTTGCACTTTTTTGAGAAAGTCGTTGCAGGTCTTACAGACTTGAAATTTCACTAGAAAATGTCCCCTGCAAGTGTAGCTGGACAAGGGAAGACTTCTGGCTTCACGCTCTCACGATCGTCAACACAACCGTTTGCCCTCATGGTTTTCGGTACGCATGGCACGAGGGACTCCTCCTTCGGCTTGCGACACTGCGATGTCGATCGATGTTTTCTCTTTACCGATTGGCCGCAGAAGGACGAATCTAGGGAGAGTGAGATTCGACTGATAATTGCGCTTTGATAATGCCAGCTGTAACTACCTGCGATTCTGCCTGTACACTCTATGTGAGTCAATGTTCGTCTTCACCTGATTATGCGTGCTTCCTAGAGAGTTTAACACGGGGCAACGAAAGTCGTCTACCAACGGCCTATCATTTACTTTTTGCATGACTTCATAACCATATCTGTTGGACAGACTTCTCGATATTACGAGAAGAACTTACCTAATTGGTGCACTCGTCCCACAACAAGAGAGCAACGTTCAGCTGTTTAGTCGAAATAGTCTTGTGAACTGGAGTGTATTTGATAACACGGTAATCCTTTAAACATAATGCCATCCGTCCGTGCGGTGCTATCCAACTGAATGGGAAGAGGGATTTAGCCCTCTTAGATAGGAGCGCAATTTTTGAAACATAGCGTTACAACCCGTAATCACATTTGTTCTCAGGAGTGGCTGCTATAATTCACATGGGCTGGCAGGGGGATGATGCCGGACCGCATTACTAATTTGTGAGAAAGTGTTTAATAACAATACTGATAGGCAAAAACCACAGCAAATCTGCTAAATAGCAAATTTGCTGAGCATGTGACACCCGACTTGAACCCTGTTCCTTGTCACAGCAAAATATGCCAATGTCAACACCAGGTAATAATTGACTTGACAGGTCTAGAAAAATGTGCTGCAACATGCTTCCTTCATCACATCGCTTGTCGGCTGTCGCCATCTCTGCTGATTACCTCTACGGGAAATAGTTCAGCACAGACTTCAAAGAACATCCAGTTTCAAACAAAAATATCAGGGGTCTTTTAGGAAACAGACGTTCAAATATTACCCAGGTAAGTCAGTGTGTTGAAACCCAAACTATGATTAGCGAGACGGCACTATCTGCGTGAGAAAGCTGCGCGGCTGCATCTGCCGCCTGAGCGTGCCTGACGCACATCGCTGTGGGGTGGAGGCCTTCACACCTGGCGAGGTAGAATCGATCGATCGCTCGCTCGCTTAAAGCGCCGCGCAACATCGATCGCAGACGTGCACGTAGTTTTCGGCAGATGGTTGAGCACCTAAGGCGATAAGAACCGCACCTGGACTGCCTCGAGAGACTGTCATTAAAGTGAGCCGATTGCAACGCGTGCACTCTCAATGCGCACTCCGAACCTAAACGAATTTATGCATTCTTGCACACCGATATTTCCCTCATGACTCTTACTGTACTATCACTACATCTAGAATTGAAAAGTCAATTGGGCAAACACGTTTTTCAGGTAACTCTTCAGCAGGCCAAAACGGTTGCATAGAAGTTCAAATTATGCGAAGTTACAGGGCTTATAAGTGACTCCGGGACTATTAACATCCATCGTTCCTACGCCAATCAACGTTCCCACGCCACTCGCATGACGAGGCGTGTTATGGCGTGGTCGGCGTGTCGTGCTCATTGGGTCAAGGGGCGAGAGAGAGGGGGACATAGGCTGTGAGTAATGTTTGTACGTCTATGTAATCGTTTTGGCCTGATGAAGAGGTACCGAAAACACGTGTTTGCCAAATTGAATTTTCAGTTGTAACATGGGAACATTCACTGAACATCTAAAATCGTAAAACTGTGAGGTCATCTAACCACAAAAAGAAGATAAATGTTGGTTAGGAATCACGTACATGGCCTATGCCAGCCACCCTCGGCAGGACAATGGAACAGGTGGCTATGTAGTGAACATTAAGGAAACGAAGTTTAGATTTGAGTTTAGGGTTAAGTTTAGGTTCACTGATAAACGTCAACTTGTGTCTCAGATTATGAGAGGGTAATAGTTGCCTATTCTGAACTTTAGGTCATGGGCATATAGACGATTCCGACCTAGTGTTATGGAAAATATGTATAGAGAAATAGAATTCGGTGCACTTGGAGACAATTCACATATGGGAGGGGAAGAGATGACGCAGTACATAATCTTATACCAGGCATGCTACTTTAAAAATAAAGAGATTGTAGCTAGCAGTTATTGCAGTTAAAAATAGATATTGGTCTCGGGCTTTCAATTCCAAATTTTGAACTTAGATTAATGACATTGGTTGGGTTCACGCATTTGCAAAATGCGTTATTACACTGTAGAATATAACATACGGCTTAAACAGGTCTCCTCTTTCGAGGTGAAGTTATTTTTTGAATTTTTCCATTCAGAAGTTGATTCCTGTGTTAAACCAAGTTAAATATATCTGCTTATTTTAAGTACGTATGCGGAGATCGAACGTTACGAACCTATATCTGACATAGGAAAATTCATAACATTTGTTTTCTCACACAGTTCACATTTGTATTTAGCTTGCATTAATTCCTTAACGGAATTTCATTGAGATTCTGTCGTAACACTTGCTACTTATTTTACGCTTCCAGTAATTGTTATTGAATAACTGACTATTCTGCCCCTCCGTGCAGATTTGCCATGGTGATTTGGTCGTTATTTGTTGGTGGCAATGGCGGATTTTTGACCAGAACCGCCAGGTATATGAACATTCCTCCACTTGTACGCCACGTGAAGCCTTAATTTCTTCCGGTTAACAGTTGTATAATACACTTGAACCGCAGGTGGTCTGCACTAGGCCTGCATTCCTAAGTCATTGTGATGACTAGCGAACTTATTTCCTACGCGCAAATAGTTGTGAATTTTTACAACAATATTTCTCTCAGAGGTTTTCAATTTAATACTGGCTGAAGGTCTTACAGAAACGCTCCTCCGCGTAATGTCCGACATCAGACAGTTGTAAGGAAAGGCAAATTGTTACCATGTAGACCCCTGTCGACAGGAAAATAACTCCCAGTGCCGTGCTCGACTAAGCGCTTCGCGCCCGGAAGTCTCATGGATATAGGCGAAAAATTCTGACCCCAGGAGTAAAGATGTAAGGGCAAGATGAGGCGATCTCTGGGGAAGAAAGTTCATTTGTCTGACGTTTCGCACTCATACTCGAGCACATCATCGGAGACAGGCCAAATGAGAAATACATGGTTTAAATAGGCCATTCGCACTCGCGCCTGATAGGGCGATCCCGCTCTCCTCTTATTGGCCCTCCTCTCGCGCGCAAATGGTGCCTGATGGCCTCGTATGGCGCTGGTAGGTCAGTACTGCGGTTGATCGAGTTGGCGTCTGATTGCCAGGCTTCGATTACTTCTCTCGCCAGCTTGCTTTCCGATCGGCCGAGCACTTGGGCGCCGTCAAAGTCGAACACGTGATTATTTTCTAGACTGAGCATGGCGACGTGCGAGCATACATCCTTTCGCTTTACGGCTAAGGCGTGCTCATGCACGCGCGTGCGCAGTCGTTTGCCCGTCATGCCGCAATAGTTGGCCTGACAGCCTAGGGAGCTGACGCGGAAAATGACGCCTGACGTGTCTGCAGGTGGTAGCCGGCCCTTGGTTTGAATGAGTAAGCGACGGATGGTGGCCGCCGGTCGGTGTCCAACGCCCACGCTTAGTGGCCTTAGCATGCGCTCAGTGGCTTCGAAGACATTTCTCACGTAAGGCAGCACGCGGAAGATTTCAGGTCTTTGCGTGTTCTCACGGTCGGCATATAAGCATTTGTTTACAAAACTGCTCGGATATCCATTGGCAAGGAAAAGGTGCCATAGGGTTTCATGCTCCCACAGCTTCTCGGCTTCTGTGCTGCAGTTTGTGCTGATGCGACGAATAAGCGTCCGGACGCAGCTGCGTTTATGCGACAGGGGTTGGTTGCTGTTGTAGTGGAGAATTTTCTCCCTGTTTGTCGCTTTTCGAAAGACACCAGCCTAGAGGGTTCCGTCTTCTTGCCTCGTTACCTGAACGTCGAGAAAAAGGAGCACACCGTCTTTTTTTCTTCCATGGTAAACTGAATTTGTGGGAAGACCGAGTTCAATTCCCTTTTAAAGTTGTCTTTCGCGTCTCGGCGTAAGATTGCAAAGTTGTCGCCTCTGTAGCGCATCCAGAACCTCGACTTGTAGGACTGAAAGACTCGAGCTTCCAGTTCCTGCATAACCGCCTCAGCCAGATAGGCGGAAATCGGGGATCCAATTGGGGCTCCCTGGATTTGCTCGTAAATTTGACCATTAAAAGTGAAGTACGTGCGTAGGTAGTAGTCTAATAATTCCATTAGGTGCTTCCTCTTAAACGGGTTCCCTCTTCGTCGTAATTTATCTCCAGTAGGTCATTGATGACTTTCATGGTCAATTCTATTGGGATGGAGGTGAATAGAGAGACGACGTCAAAAGATATAATTACCTCGTCGGCAGCTATTATAACTCCTTCGAATTTTTCCAACAGGTGTGTTGAAAATACGGCTGAAGGACGGCTCAGTGCGTGAGGTGAAAGTGCGGTCGCAGTGAGGACAGGTGTAGTCCTGGTCCTCACCACTGGTGCCCACGGAGGTGTGTTGGTTTTTTTGTTGTGTCAGGACTGTGTGTGGTATTGATGTGCCTGGCAGGCACCACAGCGGCAGCCGTTGTGGCGGTGGAAGTGGAGCACAAGGATGAGCAGGAGGGGAAGGAGGAGGAGGAGGAAGATGGTGGTGGCGGTTCAAGAAGGCGGTCAGAGTTAGGTGGCGGCGTAGAGGACGATGAAGAGGTAGACGGAGGAGCGGCGGTAGGTGCGGTAGGCGTAATGCAGTTGATTCGAAGTTGTTTAGAAAATTTAATCGGCGCCTGGAATGTCCGTTGACACCGTGAATACGTCGAATGTGGTTGTGCGTTGGAATTGCGATTTGGGTGCAGCTGAGACTCGCGTGCTTCGCGTTTGGCTTTTGCGTCGCCAATGCGGCTGTCCTGGTAGATCACAGCACCTGACTTCACTGTCCTCGTCCAGGTCGGTCGGTCTCGGGCGAGGTTTACCTAGTTGGCCGGACTGATTTACGGCGCTTCAAAGAGGACATAATAGTATCCTTGTATCGGCCGATTTGGCCTCATCTGCGGCGGTGACCCGTGGCGACTACTCCATAGAAGAGCCTTTTGGGGAGCCGCTCGTCACCCCTCCGCACGAGATGGCCGCTCGAACGCAGTTGCAGTTGTCTCAGCATGGTGTAGATGCTGAGGGTTCCCGTTCGCTCCACTGCGTCCGTGTTCGGGATTTGGTCCAGCCAACCGAGCTCCAATATGTGACGAAGACAAGTGAGGTGGAAGTGATTGAGTCGGCCTGCCTGCTTCGTGAACCCCGTCCGAGTTGCTGCTCAATACAGCAGCGTCGGAGGATGACGGCCTTGTACATCTTTAATGTCGTGCTGAGCTAAAGACCATGACGATTCCAAACTGTGCTTTGAAGACGGCCTAAGGCTTGACTGGTCTTCGAGATCCGAAGGGCGACTTCATCGTCGATTTTGGTGTTGCGGGGGGATGCTACCAGACACCTGAAGTTCTCTACCACCCGTAGTTATGTTCCATTCACGTTGACTTGTGGCGCATTGTGGGGAGTGGCTGTTTTGGGTGGCGGTTTTCTCCGCGTTAATGACTAGATCTGTATATACTTTTAAAAAGATGCTGGATCAAAATGGGAATGCGCGCCACAATGCCACACGACCTCAGCAGTCTTGATTGCCGATGTCAACAACTTGGTGATACCACGACGCTACTACCGGTATTTAAGTAGGAAATGTTCATTTAATTTATTAACTTTTGAACTGCAACGCACGCCGATGATGTCATTTACCGAGGTGCTCGCAGACTACAATTCTTATTAATTTCCCGTAGCGTAGGTTTGCTTCAAATATTTGCCGCACTAATTTCGAGAAAAAGATGTGCTCACCGGTTCGGGCTTATTTGGGTGCTGAGGTTTCGAAGAGCTTAATCGGCTCCCATTGTCAAGTAGTAGCATGCGCTTAACCGACTAGGAACTGAATTGGCATGTCGAGTTGATGGGTACCATGCTGGCCGATTTTCCTCTCCTCTCACTGTCTCGGCTTCTCGAAGGATGGTCGGCCGGCTTTTTATCTGCGTGCTTTTTGAGTCACCGCTTCGTCGGGGGAGGTGACTGAACCTTCGTCGGGCAGTCGATCAGGTGGTTATTTTTCCTCGCCGTCGGCCTGTCTATATATAGCCTTCTTAAGTCCAATGTGTTTACTTGGTCCTGAGATTTACGGACGTAATGACGTGGGACTTTGTGGGCCTCAGGAAGGTGCAGATGGATATTGATGGAATTGACATGAGGCGTTAGCCACTCTGCTTTTGTGTTGCCCAGGCCTAAGATGGATGTTCGTTCGTTTTAAGTTTTTGGCCGAGGGCTCAGCAAAGGCAGTACCATCTGCGAATCAATTCCTCGAGCGCGTAAAATACCTGAATTTATATCTCGATGGATCCTTGTTATCATTGATGTCGTTTCGCTATTCAACTCCACTGCACAGCAGCCAGCGATAGACACTGTGAACTAACCGCTGGCTGAGGGTGTTCTGGGAGGGATAAGTCATTGCAGTCGGAATATCTGCTCGAGCTTCTTTAATATAGGCCTTCAAGTCCTAGTTCTCCTGTGGTGGTGGAGAGATGTACGAACAAATTAAAGGCCTTCTTACGCTAACCTTAACCCTGACCATCTAACTTTAACCATAATTCTGTAAAGCTAACCTTCTTACCTATCCGGAATCCTACTCCCAACAATAACTCTATCGCACTAAACTAACGCCAACCCATTAACTCCTACCTTAACCCACTAACCACTACCTAGCCCTCGGCCGGTTTCGCTAGCCCTACCCTACCTCTAACTGACTACTGGGGAATATAGATTTTGTAGTGTAGTGTATTTTAGGGTAATAGGCAATGCCCTTGATGACCCTATTGAAAACGGTCCATAAAATATAAATATTAGATGTACATCTTACTAAAATTTTGTCAGTAACATATTTGTTCACGGATATTTTTCACAATGCGGGGCTGCGGAGGGTGCGGCAGGCGGTCTTCTCAGTGTACATATGAAATTTTAAGTGCAGTTATATACAATCAGCATAAAGTGCAGTCATTTGCATAGTTTGAGAGGAGAAATTTCATTAAAAGGCAGGGATGTGTTAAGTAGGGATGAAATTAAGAAATGAAATTTATGGCTGGCCGCAGATTGTCCTGTTGTGAAAGTCGTAGTTTATCAAAGATCAAAGGATCCAGCTGCCTTTTGAATACAGCGATTGTATCGGATGTCACTATTTCACTATTTTGAGATGTCTCTCAAGGCACTGAGAGAAGAAACGTTTTGCTCCGACGTTTCGGATTCTCAATTGATCTAATATTTAGAGGCCATTGCAAATAAGCGCAGTGACGCAGATCATTCAGCATTTATAGGACTTAGTTGCCATGTCGCACTCGCCTATTAGCTATGACGATCACTATTTGGGATCGACTTTGCTGCGGCAGTGCTGGCCAGCCAGTGCCGAACCGTTCATCCGTTGTCAGTATTGGCGTGATGGTGACTCTGCAGTTTGTACGCTTTCAGTGGGAGTGCTACCCATTGAAGTAAAGAAATAATTGCCAGAAGACATAATCTCTGGGACAAGACATGTATTCGCAATACGATTCGAAGGCCTGCCCGAAGGCATCACGAGAACAATTCATGCACGACAACTGTATACATAGGATGGAGTCACCATGCTACCGCATACTTATAAACATTAGCAGTTTCAACCCTTTTAAAGGAGGCTGCTTTACTTGGTTTGATGGCAGTCCAAAGGCCGAACTGGCATACTCGTGTGCAAGAGAGTGGGACGGCATCAGACTTTATCAATTTTAATTAGGTTACGAATTCTGAATTTGCAAGGTAACCTCGTGGCAACCGTCAATAAGCCCAAAAAACCAACTAAGTCAGTTACCTGCCAATCATTCTGGAATTTTTTTCTGAAAGTCTTTATGCGTGCCCCTCTTACTGCTTTAATCAGTCTGGGTGACCATGTGAACTGCTGTCAATCAAACTTCCATGACCCTTGTTTTAATAATCTGTTTTTCACCTGTGGTTGCTTTGACCTTTTTCTAAGGGATAAAAACAATGTTGACATCGACAGAATGCATGACAGACCAGGCTTCTGTACTAAACATCATGTCAATAGATCACTTCACCGGAACAAATTCATTAAGTAAAGGAAATCGTGCTCTGCTCAATGCCCTTTTAATGCTTGTCTTACTTAGCGTATTTCCATGCTAGATTTATTCATTACATAAGCCCAATAAACGGCAGCTGTCCAGAATCTGGAGGAAGTTTTAATCTTTTGGTTAAAAATTTGCTGAAATTCGTGCATATGCTAGATAGTAAATTCGGAAAGGAGCTGCAGACGTCCTTTGCGCTGTTACTTCAGCGTCTACAAATTGATCGAGGATGTTTGCTTCTGAGGACACCTCACACAAAACGTTATATAACACTGAAGCGCTCTCCCGCATTCCCACTTATAACTGCCACCTTTTTTCTAAAGTAAGCGATTTTAATGGTTGAGTCATTGTCCCGCTCTCGCGTTTGTTTAAAAAGTTTTCGTTTGTTTCAGACTTTTAAGCCAAGATTGAATCCTAATGTGCTGCATCATTCGAACAAGGAATACATGTCCATCCTATTTAATGTTGACGATGATGTCCACATTACACTGGTAAAAGACATCCTGTTTCAAAACTTAGGCAAACTGTTCTTCATATAATATTATTGTGTGAATATGTATCCATGCCTGCCTCATCATTAAAGAAGAAGATTCGAGCACCGGAATATTTTGTTTATTGTACTGAGCATTTAGGCTCGATGGTTAATCGATGGATAATAGATGAAATTGCAAATCTTACAAGTAAGACCCCTGCCAGAAGGAATTCTATGGCGTGAATACTCTAGAAATGCTGTTAATAATCGATTGCGGTCGTGGGTCAAAATGCTAATTAAAATGAATGCAAGTTTGAATTTTTTCGATATTGCGCGATCGGTATCAGTTTGTTATACAGTGAATCAGGCTTACATCTTGCCCCGGCATTGTGACATGCTGCAGGAAAACCCCATCGTACCTAGTTCACCATGAAGTGTGCCTGAAAAATCATTAAAATTGATCAAGCCAACCTGTTTATCATCTAAACTCAAATGTATTTTCTCCTTACCCTTAATTTCCCTAAATTATTTGGTGTTTTGCTTAGAACTAAGCAAAGCTATGCATATATTTAGCGTTTGCAAACTTTTTTAAAAAAATGCAGGTGCATCGTATTCGCTATTGATGTTTCAACGTATGTAGCCTCCTTAAGCGAATGCGAAGCACACCTTTTATCTACAAAATTGCATCACCATTGATAAGATTTACCTATTAATTTAAAAAAATTCATGATCGGTGGATTTACTGTAAGTTACCAAGAACTGCTTATACAAGCACCTCATCAAGTAGAACTGCCCTTAGGCTTGTTTTAATCAAGCCTGCGGTCGCGCTTAATCAGTCCCTTATTAAGGAAACCTTGTTTTACTTGCGGCCACATCTTTACGAAATTCGCCACTTGTGAAGGTCAATGCGTGGGCCCTTGGCAAAGTAATCATAAGTTTCATTCCTCTGTGTTTCAACCTCTATTTTGAGCACTGTTTATTGACCCAAGGGAGAAACGTAAACGCCATTTTGTGTCTAAAAGGGAATTGTCCCGAATTAGAAATGAGATATTTGTGCGAGTTGAACACCAATTTTAAAAATATGATGAAGCATATATTTTGTTAACAAAGTCGTGATTATCGATAGTACTGTCATGCGTTTGTCCGCTATTTACCGCAGATTGGCTAATGCGATGCCATTAAAAGAATCATACATTAAAGCAGCGCAAGAAACCTATGGAATGAAACACACGAAATCTGACTGTAAACGCGGTCCTCCAAGTGACGAGGAAAATAATTTCGAAGACAACTGCCTTTTCAGAGGTTGAGAAAGATAAGAAATTATGATGAGCACGGTCTGAGAGCCTAAAATAACGAAACAAATACCACAGACATGGAAACCAAACCCTGCACTAAAAAGCGCGGTTCATTGTGACGTAAAAACGAGTTGCAAATAAATTCAACTTTGAATTACCTATGAAGACCTGAGTACTTTTGATTTTTGTGGCTAACAAGCTGCTTCTCAGGCGCGTTAATGACACAACGGAATTTACACAATCACTCCATCGAAGCTGATAGATGTGATTACCTACTAATGGGGGACGGTTTTCCCTTAGTCATATGCGTCCCAAATAATCTATTCACAAGTGGTAATATGCATTGCTTAAAACAAACCTTATGCAATGGCTAAATTACACGTTTGTTGGACAAAGACAAAGGAAATTA